TAAGAGGAACGCGCTCGAGGCTTGGCCCAAGGGCCCCAAAGACAGAAATATCCTCAATGGTTGAGGATTCCGAGCGAAGCTCGCTTATACCTTTGGCCTGATCATTACTTTCCATCTGGTGAGAGATGCAGGTCAAGAGTTTCCTGATTATGAATAAAAAAAATCAATATTTCTTATGAGTAAGTAGTTTATTTCTTCTGTCGATAAGCTTGTTTTCTTTGAATGCTGTATTTACCTGTAAAGGCGTATCTTTCAGATTTTAGCTCCCAATGTAACCATGCATTATGAATGATATGTTGTTGGTGCTGGTTATCTTTTACAATAAATAAAAAAGTATTATTGTGATTTTCAAATAGTGAGCCCTTCTGGGGGCGTATTGTGGGTTTACGTCAAACGCATTTGATATCGAAGACGTTAAAAATATATGAAGATTTTAGTACTTGAAAGTTTCCGCTAGGGGCGCTGTACAATCCGTCATACATTTAATGACACTTTTTACGCAGTTGATGTCAAATGCGTTTGACGTAAACTTACACTACGCCCCCTGGCCCTAAAGTCCAGCCCTGTTGATCGGTGCCACCAAAGCTTAGACGCAGTCAGCGTTAAGGTTTCGTGCTCTTAATTTAGATCGAGCACGTTAAGAATGTCAAAGGTTCAACGGAAAACGAATTAACCCATGTATTTATAAAACTCTATATTTAGAAATTAATGTTCTACCAAAATAAACCTTGTGCTGATATAAATCAATGATTTTTTGTATAACGCAAAACACTATTTTTTTCCTACCTTGTAGGTACTGTACAAGGCAGATATTTGACAGAAATCGCACCTCATGTTAAGTGAGATGCAGTTTAGGATGGTACATATTATTATCTGCTCTATGTATGAGTAAGTGCCTATTCACTCTCGCCTTGAAAAGGCCCGGACTTGCAACAAAAAAGTAAGAAACACAGCACTATAGCACAAAAATCTTACACCAATATTTATGTAGTAAGTACATAGGTATATATTCTGGCTAGGTTTTCTTAAATATCCTAGGAATGTGGGTCCAGTAAAATTCATGCCAAAAATATTATAAATATTTTCTTGATCACCGAGCTATGCTTAAAGCCAAGGTCCCTATTTGAAGCACAAAAACTCTAGGTAACGATGTTAAAAGTTAAGCAAAGGAAATAAGTGACAAGTGTACCCTAGGTAATAGGTAGAGATGAAACGGATATCCGGTAACTATCCGGTAGGCCGGATATCCGGCCTAAATTTACTATCCGGCCGGATACCGGATAGTAACTCACTATCCGGCCGGATACCGGATATTAAAAAACTACGACAATTTCCTGTTTTAATAAAATGAAATACTAATCTTTGAGGTAAACATCAATAAAATGTCATATAATAATGGCGTCTTTTATTTAAAGTCCAAAAAGTTACAAAAAGCCATATTAAGGCCTTTAAAAAAACTAATTTCTTTTTCTGGCCTATTCACTCTAGTGACGAATACATAAACTTTAAAAATACCTGTCAAATCGAAATATTGCCAAATAAAATAGGCGATCTTTTTTCACTGATGATGATCTGATGCAATTCAGTCAGATTATGCAGCAAGTAAACTAATTTAATTTTCGCTATTCAATCACACACTCACGATGGCAACCGAAATCGCCCGAATTGATCTGCCTCCTTAGACAAAACGCACTTTTTGATCGAATCGAAAATCGAATCCGTCAAATCTCCATACAAAAAAGGGGCTTTTCGACCACTTTTCGACTGGTTTGCGATTATAATTTGCACTTTGTCTAGACCCACTGCCCCCTAGACAAGTGGCAAAATCTGACATTCTATTCGGACTGATTCGATTTTCGAAAAGTGTGACTAGTCTAGCCTACTAATAGACCCACTGATCGCGTTCGAACCACCTGTGCGACGCTAAACTCATCACGATATGCAACGAGACAATGAGCCAACTATCCGGCCGCCGGATATCCGGCTATCCGGCCTAGCAGCTGGCCGGATATCCGGTATCCGGTATCCGGCCAAACAACTATCCGTTTCATCTCTAGTAATAGGCACACATATTCCATTTATCCCGATGAAAACTAAGTTAATTGAACGAGAATGGATGATGACGTATCCTGTGAGTTTTTCTGGGCGGAATTAATCAAATTAGATAGAATTGTTGCAATTCACAAAGGAGAGTGAACTTTACATGTGTGGTGGCTCGATACTGTTTGTTTTTAAAAGTTTTGATAGGACGTGCATGTACACGTACACACACAGCATTAGGTGCGATTGTGGTCAAATACCTGCCTTGTTATGCATAAAAAAAAATTAAAAAAAAAAACAAGTAAAGCTCACTCGCCTTGAGTTGCAAGAGCTAACTATATCACCTAAATTATTGACTTGAAAAGGACCATTACATATTTACAGCCATTATTTATGTCATAAACACAAGACAACATATTTGTTTCATAATAAAATACAGTTTATTATATTATGAACTTACTATTAGCAACAAGTACTTATCCAATATCACTAATGACTCAAGTTCGATACTTGTTCCATGTTGTTGTTGAAGAGCATTGAAACAAGAAAAATACATTGAAGAAAAAGCGAAAAATCTCCTCTATACACACTATTTGTTCTACAACGCCAATAACTCGTAGATAATGCACGAAAAATGAATAGAAAGATGCTTCAAAGTTTCTCAACTTGTTCTGCTCATCCCTTCCAACATTAGTCTGAAAAACAGATTCTTAGCTTTAATATAACAATATTAAATGCCATTTTATTACGTCCTACTGAATCATTATTCAATTTTGTAGCAGATAAATAAATTGTATTTGGTAAAATAATGATTGAATTTGAACACAATTTTATCTAATTGGACACTAATTAGATAAAATTGTGTTCAAATTCAATCATTATTTTACCAAATACAATTTATTTAAAACATTTTTGTCTTTTGAATTGAAATTAGGTAGTTAAGTAGGTACTTCACATTTAAAATAATATTTGTACACACACAAACACAACTAAATAACTTTTAGAAACCTTCCACGCCCATAATTTTCAATCGTAAACCAGAGTTTGTGTGGAAAACTACTTCTATTCTTTTCCAGTATCCGTTGAAACGATTAATCTCACTTTTTCTTTGAAAACACGACTCAAGATCTATGGAACAAAAACGGGGTACGACTACAAATACTTGAGGGACTCGCTAGAGTCTGGGGAAATCTAGGATCACAATATACGAGGTCAAACTTGATTTATGGGTGTCTTTTTTACGAACGTCTTCCATAAACATGTACCGTGAATGTTAATCTAGCTCCCATACAATAAAAAGTCAGTAAAAACCCTCTAAATGAAAGGTTAGCAAGTTTATGTCGGAGGGTAAGAGGTGACCCACTCCTGTGATTGGCCGGTTTACAGCTTAACAACTAACCGCGGCAGTTAATTTGAATGTACCGGTTAAATTCGTGGAATAAGTAAACTGAAGTGGTAGTTGGGAAATCGTAAAAAATCGTTTATGTTCTTTCTGTAATTCAGTATTTAGGCCAGTAAGGGCACGGATTTGTATTTATATTGAAACGAATGCCGTCCAAAAATTTGATTCCGTAATGCATGATATTACGAATATAAAATAAAATTCCAGTTATTAACGAAAAAAAAACTAGTTATGGCTTTACAAAAAGCTTTTATGTTACTGTAAATTCCCAAACTACGGTAAAGCTTAAGATATTCCAATAAATCCTAAGATTTGCCAATTTTCATAGCATAAGTGTCAAATAAATTGGGTTTAGGTGCTTCTAATTTGACTGCAGTTATGATAAAAAGATAATAGACCCAAAGAATAACTAAAACTCTAGGCTTTTCAAAACATTCATGACAGTCTTGAATATTATTTCTCCTTCCAAGATTGCAAAAGTTTAGGTAAAATACCCTTGAATACCAATAACAAAATTCGTGTTCGAGGCTATAAAAATATTTAAAAAGTCAGTAAAAAAACACAATGCACATTCCATAAAAGCTAAAGTCAAGCGAACGCAGGCCCATTTAAAACCGCAGACGTCTGCGGACTTACGAACGCGCCCCATCTATTTTTACTGGAAACGATTTTCTTTTTTTATTTCTGATTTGTGGTGCGACAAAAGAGGAAATTCTTTTCTGGAATGCAACTTTTTGCTGGAATTCTAGAGGTAATTTCCTTTTCGGCTGACCGAGAGGTTTCGTTCTGCGGTTATCCGTATTTGGCATTGGTGACTTTGGGACGCAATGGAGTATCTTAGTAATTCTATCTTCATTTGGCAAAACCTTTGATTGTAATAATAAAAAAAACTAGGGTACTTTTTATCTACGAGTAGTTACCCGTTTCAGAATATGATATGGTACCACGTTTGTCAATTTGTTTTAAGCCAAAAGATGTTCACGCCACTGCTGGACATAGGACTCAAGGAATTTCCACAATGGCTGGTTCTACGCTGCCCACATTTTTTTTGTCGCGGAGGAAATTCTTTGCTCACCGTCACTACTGCCGAGGGACAGGGTGGTGTGTGGGACTCCGGGCGCTGCTCCGTACTGAAAAGGACGGGGTATACCCACTAAAACCTCCGCGGCGTTCCGTGGGAGTGTCGCGAGTATCCGGCCATAGCCTTAGACTTCCGCGACACCACCGGCACGCTGCCCACATCCAAGTACTTCCTGCGACCTTCACCTTCATCGTCGGTCCACCAAACGTATACAACCACATTGCTGGCAAAAAAAAAACAAGGGATTCTTTTATAATTTTTTTATAATGATATTCCTAGGTCTGCTAGGAACATAATAAGTGCCTTTTTCCGGTGATGCGGATTCCGCCACGCGTGCGGATCTCGTCCGCATACAGGCTGCCCCGAATTTCATTCTTCCATACATATTTTCCGTTGTTGTCCCGATGTTACTGGCACTCGTCACAGGAAAAACGCACTAAGGATCTTTTTCCTCAATTTCCTTATTTCCTTTTCCAGATAGGAGATCTGGAGGACGACACGACGCCTTTAGATATGTCGTGGCCTTCAGGGTTCCGCAAGCGAGTGACGTACTTGTTAGTCGCGCCAATTGTCTTCCCACTATGGATCACCCTCCCGGACACGCGGACTCCGAGAGGCAAGTTGTTTTTTATTTTGAACTTTGTATCTTTGGTTTAAGGTTAAAAATCTATTTGAATTTTGTAGTAAACTGAAGTACTTGAGACTTGCCACGAAAAAATTAATAAAGCTACAAGTATGAGAGCTTTTCGCCCCTGTAGGTACATGGTGAAATGTTGGACTAGTTAATCCTACTTCCCGATAGATGGCGTTGAGTGTAGCTTAAATCGCATTAGAATAGTTGCCTTTCCAATTATGAGCTTTTTAAATAATACCTAAATCTCAATTTCAGCTATTTTTAAAATGATCCACTTTACCACTCTTTGAGTAAATAAACTGCATAAAAAATGCTATGAATTCAATTATACCAGTAAATCTCTAAAACTAAAACAGTCCTGTGAAGAGGAAGAGTGTACCAACAAAGCATTTAACGCCTTTTACAGCCCCATAACTTTGAATATTTTATTTAACCCTACCCTTTTGTTCCAGGGAAGAACCTATTCCCTATAACATTTATAGGGTCAATAGTTTGGATAGCATTTTTCTCGTACCTTATGGTGTGGTGGGCCAACGTGGCTGGTGCCACGGCCGCCATTCCTCCCGAGGTGATGGGGCTGACCCTGCTTGCAGCGGGGACTTCGGTGCCGGACCTCATCACGTCGGTCATCGTCGCCAGAAAGGGTTTCGGCGACATGGCCGTCTCGAGCTCAGTCGGCAGCAATATTTTTGATGTTACTGTTGGGTGAGTGTCATTTGTTTTTCCGTAGCCCAAGCACATTCAGCGTCAAATAGTGACACCAAAAGTGGCCAAAAGTTGACATCACAACCGTATTCCAATGAGGGTTTTCGCGAATGAAAGATCCGCTAGATGACGGGACGTGAATGTGGGGTCTGACTGCTGCGTGGTTGGTAGATTTTGACATATCTGTCAATGTCATGTCAAAAATAATCAATCATGCAGCATTTGGACCTCGCGTCTACGTATTGCCATCTGGCAGATTTTTCATTCGCGAAAACCTTCATTGTGACAAAGATGTGTTGCGAACTTTTTGGCTACTTTGGGTGTCACGAACTATTTGACGCTGACTGTACCAGCGAATCAAGACACATTGAAAATCAATTGTTACCGCGGTCTCATACTTAAGGTTCTGCGAGAGTATCCCATATTAGACCTTGCGAAGAGTATATTGGCGTATCACCAAATAGGTATCAGAACATCATAAAAATACAGACCCCACCGAAAGAATTTTGTCCCCAAAATGACAAGTTTTGTCGAAAATCGACTAAAGTATTCATTCAATGATCGCAACATTCTTTCCCATTGAAATTAAGAATAGCTCGATTTGCTATAATATTCATAGAACGTTAATGATGACTGAAATCCAAGTTTTCACAACGTTTTTCGTAGCGTTTCCGACGTTCATAAACGCACATATTATTTCAATGTCGAGATACGGTGGAGACATCAATCATGTCTTTCAGTCGACTCAAAATGCTCGTATTTCTGCCTGAGACAGTCTTAACTTAAGTTCATTGTACACTGAACGTGGTTTTCTTCATTTATCTTTGTCATTCTCTTTTTTACCTGTAAATTCACACTAGCATTTTGCTTTTGGTTGTCTATTGTGTTCACATTAGCTTTGGAAAATGCCCTAACTCGTCTTATTTTAGACGAGTTCTTATTAATATGTGTTGTGAGCTTTCTGTCATTTCTATGATCTTTCATTCAACTTCGTCCAAATACTTCATAGACATTTTTATTTCTGTACTTTACGAATTCTCCAGTGAAATATTCTTAATATTTAGTCGTCTATAAATCACATAACTTCCCCATAAACTATGGAATCCGCACCGCAAAGGTCCTTAAGTCCCAATCTGGTAATGTTAGTTTTAGTTTACTCAAACAGTCCTGTTACTTAAAACTTTTAGATAAAACTTTAGCTCCTACCACAGACTGTAAAATACAGCAGTTTGTGGTTTAGACGGCGCAGCATTTCAACAATTTAATATATTTCGGTTTTGCTACAGTTAGTAGATACGAAGTTCGTAGCACTCCCAGAATCTTAAGTAACGCAAAATGGTACCTTAAATACTACACCAAGCTGGAGACATGCCAAAAGAAAATGGCGCTCTGTAAAGATACCTTCTCTAAATAATTCCCTTTTTGTTGGGAACTTTTAAAATATAGCGATATACAGTTCAGATGTACAAATTGTTTTTAAATTCGTTCCAGATCTTTTGTATCTTCTTCAAGTGTGTTGACATTCAATTCGCGAATTGTGGCTTAGGATAATGCGACTTTTATTTAGGAAGAAATGGAAGCGTTACCTAATATCTCAACGTAAACAATTTTCTTCACAGTATCTTCACGTGTGACCAACTTTTTCGTGACATTAATGTAGGCCTATGTTGAGAATAAGTAGTGAAAGATATTTAACTTATCTAGAACTATTGGTATCAATGTGATATAAGTAGTGTATTTTGCGTTTCAAATAATTATACTTTAAAGGTATGTGACTTGAATTTAAACTTCTGACTTTCTTGACGGACCTGTTGGGACAGGTTCTACTTAATTCAGACTGAATAGGTTAGATTGATTACAAACAAGATAACAATACACATCGAGCTTCAGCCACGACCCTGAGCCTGCCACGGTCTTGACCTTTTCAAGCCCTACCGACACCCTTGCTCACGGTCTTAAACTTTAATGGAATCTTTCAACATCTTGATCGGTGTTCCCGCAAGTTGGCTGACGTTTGCGAGTTTTGTATTTATAGGATTCTCGGTTGCATCGTTATGGATGGCTGAAGTTCGGGGTTACAGTTGGCTGAAAGTTAGTGCTATTGGAATATTTTTAGTATTCGGATTGGTAAAATGTATGCTGCTGGTAATACTTGATGAGTTTTGATAATGTTCTCAATTAAATATTTGAATTTGGATCGAATTAACCTTATTGTTTGAAAATAATAACGAGTATGGTGCAGACGGCAACTTAAGTCGCAGTCTGACTGATTTATGTCTATGGTTTATGGGTGGCTCTGATACCATGATGGTTGTGATAGTAACATAGTAATTACAACTCTAACGATAGAAATTTTGTGGCATTATTGTAGTTCTCTATTTACATAAATGTACTTGAATTTTCATCCAAAACCTTCAGCCTTGGTACATAAATTGGGGAATATATTTACCTAACGTAATCCTCTTTGATATGGAGGCATAACCCTTCCACAAACGATACATTTGTTGAAGACACTTTGAGACAGCAATTTGCCGGGACATTCCATCAACGCACCAAGAATTTCGCGGGACATATCTCTATGTCATTGAATAGAGATCGCGCAACCTACCCAGATTTTAACAATACAGCCGGCGGCACATAAACAAATTACATTCCATCCTTATACCCAAAGCCTGAAGGTGAAAAATGCGGCACTCCTACCATTACTGTACCATATAAATCTGTAACAAAAACGCGTATCGATTGCTGAAATACACCGCAATGTAGACCACCTTATTTGGTGGAGTTTGAGTTCTAAATCGCTTGGCACGGCATCGTTTGCAATGTATCATGGAAATAAAAGTCCGTGGTAACATAAATAAAGTTATTCGCGACATTTGTACTGGTGTGCTTTGCTTGAGAATATGTAGCGTCGTGATTCGATTTTCGTTTTATTAGCGAGGTAATCTTTGGGGTAAATGCTCCTTAAACTGGATTTGGCGGGACTCGAAGAGACTGTAGGTATATCCATTATAATGCGAAGGTAGAAATAATATTGAGATGGTTCAAAGAACTTCTAGAAATGGCTTATTTTGAATATCTCAGGAATAAGTCCTTATTTTCTCAAATTAATATAATGAATTAGGTTTCAAGAATACGTTTCAACGTTGGTTACTCCGTTTTTTTTTTATCTGACAATAAGATAGTGAAATCTAAGACTGGGTTGCACCACTTAACTTTGACCGTAACTAAAACTTTAACCGGTGTTTTTTATAATATATGATGTTTGACAGATTTTTGATGGTTGTTAAAGTCAAAGTAAGATGGTGCTTCCCAGCCTAAAAGTGCAACTGCATTCAATACAAAAATTTGGCTGTATTATTCGTATTTCCTTGAGCATCTCGCTATCTTAATTCCTTTATTCCTAAAAAGCTTTATTAAACTCTTACATTTGGCAGCATCCCTACTCCGAGCCAAAACAAGAAATCCAGGAAAACGGCCTAGGGAAGTCGTTTTAAATATTTACCAAAGTGTCTTCTCCATATTACATTTCCCCCTTTCGCACTGCACCAATCCGAGTTCAATTTTGACAATTGTGATGCACCGCATTCTGCATTCGCAAGAATTCTACGGAATTTCATTCGCGTCTGGACTATTCGTCGGTCTGTGGACGGTCGATAAACCCGCAAACAAGCGATAAGCAACCCAAATCCCTTCACGTAAAGTCCGAAAGCCCCTGTCGAAAGTGTTTGGCGAAGTCGTCCATAGTTTTCAAGTAAGCTTATGTTGCAGGCAAAAGACAGCGGCCAGTTTGTGCAGCTATTGTTCTCTACTTGTATCTTTGCTAGCAAAAACTTTGTATTTCTAAATTTTTTAGTATTTTTAGTATCAATGAGATAATCTTCATTACATAGGATAAAACAAAGTCGCTCCCGCGGTTTGTTCGCTTAGATCTTTTAAACTGCGCAACGGATTTTAATATAGTTTTCAGCAATAGATAGAGTGATAGACAGAGTATAATTTGTACGCGTGCAAAGCCGGGGTGGGTCGCTAGTTGAGGATATAACCCATTTAGTAACTAACTTTATTAATGTTTTTGTTTTAATGATTAGCTTTTCATCACTTACCCAAAGATTGTAAATGAAGATATCCTGCATAAGTGAGGTGTACATACATCCAAATTTAAAAATATTGTTTGTATCATTCACCTTTTTAAGTGTTCTGGCTGTTCTCCTACAGTCGGACTTAACACTGATAAATTCGGTTTTGCATTGGCAAAGGATGCGGTTGGTCCTTGAAAGTATTACTTTGGTTTGTTATTTGCTACAAACTTACATAACCAGACTTGCAACTCCCAACGCGCTGTATTAGCCGGTTTTTATAACGAAACTTAATCTGGAATATCCTCGGATTGTGGATTAAGAGGAGCTCCCAAAGCTTGATTTAACTGGATTAAAAATTTGCCTTGATTATTCAGAGACTCTTCTTGCCACACATAACTCAAAGATTCGCTTTTTTGTATAGTCGCAAAGACTTCGCTCCGCTGTCGCCCGAATGTTATCACAATGTGTGTGGCCTAGGGATAAATGTTTGAGTCACGAGAAGAAAAAACATTTATAAACGATGCCACATTCACAAAATGATTGAATATTCTATTCCTATAGATCCAAATACTAGTAGCCCATGAAATTACTTCTAGGAAAATAGAATAACTAGCTCAATAACATCATAATGGGCTAATGGCCTAACGAGTTCGATCTCAATCGATCAGTCTTTAAACTGCTATTACCCTTAGGCAAAGAAAATAGTATAGAAAAGCATTTCCAGCGGAAAAGCATTCGATTCCGATATTTTCGTAGCATGAAGAACTGTTTCTTAACTTTTTTCCTCTGTACTAAACTGGCATTTCGTATGACCCAACATTTGGGCCAAGGCCTTTCGAATTACGTAGATAAATATCAAACTGTTAACTTTATCGTAACTTTTAACCTGGGGTAGGAGGGGGTTATGACTAACGACCCACTAACTGTGCGTCTCCTGTACCATGAAATCGGAGCGATATATTTAAGCGACATTTGTTACGGAAAAGTATAAGAAAAATACGGAACGACACTGAAGTAAAACCGCGATGAGATATGGTGGTAGGACCTTCGAAACCTTCGGAGAATAGGCGAATTAGCCTTGAGCGATGGATTTCGATCACGGTTTTGGCTGAACACGCAAATGATTTGGGCCAACTCAAGCAAAAGTAGAAAACCATGTATCGTTTGCTGCCTCGTGAATTTTGGGTTGTGATAGGTACATAGTAGGTACATACCATAATGTATATTTTTTGTAACAAAGTGGTTTCAAAGTTTAAGCCGATATAAAACGAATGATGAGTTGGCTTCATGGTCGATTAATTTACTTGTTAAATGAAGAAGATTTTACCTTGGAAGAAATTGATTTTCCCAAACATCCTATAAAATTTATTTTGGTAATATCTATATTTTTTCTTCTTCTTCGTCACTATACTCTTGGCAGAGTAATCGTGGTCGTCACATCTATTTCACATGGTATTAGAAAATGTTATTCACTCGCCCAGCATGCTGTGTTTGGGACTTATCCCAATGAAGAATTTGAATGAAATCGTCTTGAGGTTTTGCAACAATGTTCATCCTTAGATTATAAAAATCAACCGTTTCTTTTCCAGGCTGCCTCTCCCCTGGCTCCTATACGGGCTGATCAACGGAGCACCGGTCCAGGTCAACTCCAAAGGCATGGTGTGCAGCATAGTGCTGCTCTTCGCCATGCTTCTCTTCGTGATCCTCAGCATCGCCTGCTTCAGGTGGAAGATGAACAAGGGCCTAGGGCTTACCATGTTCATGCTGTACTTCGTCTTCGTGGCCGTCAGTTTGGGACTAGAATACGGCTACCTGCATTGTCCTAGCGAGTAAGGGTATGGAGAGGTTGTGGTTATTCTGAAGATAATGTGCTGTGAGGTCGTAGAATGACTTTGGTTTGATGGCTTATCCAATTATTGAAAAAATCAGTGAGACAAGTATTGAGTCTACAGTAACACCCTCATGAAACCATGACAGTGGAAGTCTACCAATCAAAATACATGCGTTCATTCTATAAAGTTTTTTGGAGATTTGAAGATGTTGAAGAAGAATGAAGAATCAGAGTTGTGTATTTTAATGGTTTCGCTGCCAAGGTTTTGTGATCGAGGTGTGCTATTGGCGTTAATGTTTTATTAGTATGATAGATGGTAATTTTGTTATTTTACTGTTAATTTCTACATATTATTGTTTTGAAGTAGGTTAGTACGATTTTGAAATTTCAAGTGGTTGAACACAACAGAAAGATGCCACTGCTTGGAATTTCAGAGCCTGTTCTTTTTTAGTTGGATACGAAAATAAAAGGAAGATATTTGGACGAAATGTGGACCTCACACACCAGCATATGATGCTATGTTGACTATTCTTAGAGGCCTTGATAAGACTTAGAGCAGTACGAAATTTGAGATACCTCCAAAATTTACTGGATTATAAATAATTCCGCTAGGTAGACTCGTTACAATATGCTTAGCAAAACTTTATTAAGTTATAGAGGGTACGAAATACTTAGTGACTGAAGAGAGTAGTCGACATAGTAATGTTACAATTTCAAGCTTATAAGAGTCAAGGAGTATTTAATATAAGGGCCACTTGTGAAATAGCACAATGATCAACATTTTGGTTAGGATGTAGAAATAGAATGCGCTAAAATGTTATATGTGATTGTGAATGATAGAACCACCCACAGAACATGTTATTTTGGTGAAACCAATTGTTTTAGTTACGCTAAGGCCACACTACAGATGAAGGCATTATTTGGGCCAATCTTGGGCACCCAAAATTGGTGTCAAAGGTTGGTTGCTGGTTGAGATCTTAATTTGCAGAATCAAAGCTAAAGTCTTTTGTTTCAAGTAAACTGAGAGAAATGAAGAGTAGCAATATAAGTGTGAATGAAAAAAGGAAGGAAATGTTCGGAAAATTTGAAATGGTATTTTGAGGCAGATTTGTGACAAGTTTTGGCGTCGTGTATAAAATGTGGACAGCGTAACTGTACTAAACTCTTTTGGTCAAAACATAGTCCCCTATGAAACCACAATCACTTTGTTTTGACCAGATACAGAAAAAGTAAATGATACGCTTTCAAATATAATAATTTGGTAGAATTGATCAATTCTAGCTACTTTATTTGAAGCAAACTACGGGGTGTTAATTACATTTAGTGGTAAGTAAATTAATCAAACCAGTAATGATAATACAGAAAATTAATGATCACCTGACCTAGTGGTACGGGACTGTCAAGTAGGTACTGTTATGGATTCGAATCCAGAGGGTGAAGTGTTGTAATGAACATGACAATTTATGCATGGAATCGTTATCCTTAACGTATGTATGTATAGTATCATAATACGTACCTATAAATCGATATCTGGTCATTTTAGTACAAGTTCCACTAGATTTGGAGATTAGTAATAATCGTAATACCTTAGATTAGGTGTTATAGTTGAAACACGTTTTATTTAAAATTTTGATGTTGTCTCCATTAATTTTTGTTACAGTAACGTTTCTTCATGATGGCATTTCAATCAATATCTTGTTACTTTCGACTTACAAAGCCAAAGTCGGTAGTGTAGTCTTAGCAACTTTTGGATTTTCTGTCGTTCACACATTTACTTTACGAATTTGGTGTTACATATTTATAATAATATTAATTGAATTGTAATCCGTTCATTTATAACTAGTTGTAGAGTTTAATTTTAAAATTAGTTTTAGTTGTTTAGATGTTGCCATAGCACACGTTTTGTAAATTTACATTGCTCAAATACTATGTTTCTATGCTTTGCTGTAGGTTCTTTAGGTGTTTTAATTAACGTGAATGCTTTAATAGATGGTTTAAAAGTACAAGAGAGAAACGAGCACCAATATTAAATAAGGATAAAGATAATATAAACGAATATAAACTATGAAGTCACGATAAAAATATTCCTATGAAATGCAATAAATATGACGCTTCAATGGTTTACCTACTCAGAGTAGTTCGTGTAAGTGAGATAAGTAACGATGAAATCATTTTTATATCAGAAAGTTTAATTGATGAAGTTGTATAGCCATCAATAGAGACTGTAGTTAAATATATGAATGTTAGATGTTTGTTATTATTCGATGGCGCTTTACAAAGAGGTTTTAGCGTTATTAGCCGGTTTGGTTGGGCTGTGTTGAAACTTACCGAATGCAGGGGTCACAGTACAAAGGTAGCAAATGAATTTATTTGAAGGAGAGACATTTATTATCGCATCGGTAAGGTTTCAAGCAGCCGTTTAGGTCCGTGTGTCAGTTGCGTTGTTTTTGTAAATATTCCTTTGTTTTATATACAAATATTTAATATGGATTGTATGATCGGTCGGGTGACCTTCAGTCCATGGGTTGACGATTAAAATTTTATTGTATCAATGAAGTGTTGCAGGTGGTTGGTCCGCAGCGACATGTACATAACACGTAGGGGGTAAGTTGAGCAGCGGGGCAGACGATCGCGATGTTTATTCCATAAATGTGCCTAAGGGTCCAACTGACCCATTAACAATGTTAGCTTCGATATTTATAATTATAACCGCATCCACTCACTCATACGACAAGGATATTGCTGTAGGTCGCACGTGTCCCGCTCTCAAATATAATACGGTAGTTAGATTTTTACACTATCTTTATAAACTCTTACTATAAATAACCTACTTCATTGATTTTCCACTTGTTCTTGTTGAAACTTGTGTATCCAAATTTAATCGAGCGCATCTGGCAATGTTGTCAATTCTACACTGTTAGTTAATACTACTACTTCCCTCGTTCCATGAAGCTGAATGCTTTTAATAAACTACTTAGACAGGAACTGCATGGGAACCGTCCATAGGCTTTTCTTTCTAGTTCTATTTCGTTCGCACATTACGTCTTCATCACTCAATCATCGAATTGAGAAATACAAATTTTGTAAATTCAATTGTTAATACCCCCACGAAAATTTTATATTGATAACCCGCCTATTTGACATAGCAATAAATAGACTAGAATAGATAGTTAAATATTCGTATGTTAAGCTTTAACAAGTCAACCATTGTGAAGCTCAAATGGTGGACGAACGCGACAAACTACAGATTACGAATGCGCACAAGTATTCAGATGATATAACTGCTTAAACAAATACTCGACTCTTTCTTTTGTTAATTATAAAACGTATCTTTTAAAAATAGAAGGTTATTAATGATAAAATTGTAAAAGTGAAAGCGACTGCACAAAAAGCTGACGAAGCAAGCAGTTCCAAAACACGACATATCGATAGGTACCGGACATTGAGTAGGTCATTATCTGTGATAAGGGCATGCTTATGACGTAATTATAAAGTGTTTATAGAAGCTCATCTCTCTACAATCACAGTTCTGTATATTGTATATTTAAGCTTGGATTTGACTTTAGCCTTCTGTAGTTCGCTTAGCGGTGCCACTTTCGGTCAAACGGTTTCAATACTTACTACTTCGTTCCGTTTATATTCAAAATCTTCTCTGACGTTTAAATAATATTTGAAATCTTCAAAACTGTGCGATCTATAAGTGGCCAGTCTATAAAAGTAAGAATCGAATGAAATTTGCTCTAATTCCAAAGTTTCTTTAAGGTTTGGTGATATACTACACGTTATACTTGATAAAAATTCAATTTAGGATGAAGTAGAAGCTGTATAACAATATATCCTTTTACATACTTGTACTAGTTTATTGGGAAGCACCAATTACAAATCGTACGTATATTATGTACTGCCACGATGCTACATTTATATACGCTACGTCTTATTATATTACTATTATAAACTAGTAATTTCTATCTATCTCTTGAATAATGTAATTAGTCTTGTAAATTTATCATCCTTCCATTGGTTAGGGTTTCGTTTATGTGAAACTTAAGGCTAAATCAGTGATGTTTAGGAAACTTTAGTCCTTATTCGAAGGTACAATACAAAGTAAAGTAAATTGTGGTATAATATACGACGATGTAAAGTTAAAAGAAAAAGTAGCAAAAAATTTCGAAACTTCGAAAAATGAACTTATTTAAAACTAAATACTCTATTTGATTTAGCCTAAGTATCATGACTATCACAATTTTCGCTCTTCGCATGTCATACGACGTAGATACATCAAATTGCATTTGTTCAGTACCAAATAGCACGAGCCCAGCTAGAATTCATTACTCAAATTTTCTTAGCGTCCCTAAACTAGAGCATATAAGTGATAACTAAAGGTTATGAGATGATAAAGTAAAAAGTTCAAGTCAGAAGTCCTAGAATCAAAATGGTAGTCACAAGTCTTAAAAATGATGAAGGAAAAGCAATGTTAAGAGAAGAAAACGAATATAATATCGTTGAAATTCTAAAAATGAACTCCTTAGCCAATACAGAAGATATAGCTACTATACATTACTTTTAAAACTTCATACTTCAGCATGTATTTCAAAATATGGTGACAGCAATAAGCCCACAGCAGATTGAAGATTAAATTAAAAATGTGGGAACAGTTTGAATTTTTGGCTATTCAGAAATGCAGAAAAGAAGATTTGTCATACAGACTAGTTCAAGGTCTAAATTAATCGCACAAATTGATCTGATCTTTGTACAAATATTGCATTTAACAGTGTCTTTGGAAATAATGAAGCCAAGGATATAGCTTGTGTGACCAATCAAATGTTTGATAATAATAAAGATGTAAACACAATAAATGATGTTATTCACGACAAATATGCTCTAGTGTAGAGGAGCCTTAGCATAAGAGTTGACTTTATTGATCTATACGACGAAGTGAGTCGTCAACACTAACCTTTATAACTTCTCTCGTAGTTTAAGAATAGGCTTAACGGCTATCATTAAAAAATAAATGTTTATTAACAAAAATAAAATATAATATCCTGGTAGAGATTGTTACTAGTGACGGTTTTTTATATAAAATTATAATTATTGCAGATATTCAGTCTCTGTTTCCTTCAGTGTGTCGAGAACACCAGAATTGTGTTGGTTTTACTTTTAGTTGATTGATTTAGTCAGCTTTAAAACGCGCTTTGGGAAATGGGGACTGATCTTTAGTCATCAATTTTGTTTATAGCTGTCGATCTCGATTGCGTGTGTGAATCGAATATTTTTTATAAATGAAACTAAAATGATTCGACAGAAGAATCTGTACCACCAAGAATGTCTTCCAAGTAAATAAATTGAGTAAACGAAAGTGACTTTAGTAAATGTCTATTTAAAGAAGAATTACTTTGTAATGAACGTCATTAACCATAGCTACAACTGCATTGTTGATGTTTTAATAATGGTTATTGTAAATTAAAGAACTAGGCCCAATGATCAGTTTTAGACTTGTAATATCCTTGGTTTAAAAAATATTATGATTGGATGAGACCATTTTTGTTATAACGTCACATAACAGGACCAATTTAATTCCATTTCACTAGGAAACAAAAGAACCACACGAAATCGAGGCGACAGCGTAGGTTATAATAGTGATACTACAAAATAAGGAAAAGTAAAAAAAATGTTATTGATTTTAAACAAAGTAGATAAGTTAGGGACTTTCATCATGTTAATGAAAAAAACGGCGATGGCTCTGATAGGGTTAATTTTGCAAAACCACATTGTGATTATTGTGATTTCAAGTGTTACAGTATTAATATGAATTTTTCGGTAGTGACAGTGAGCTAGTTTATTTCAGAGTTTATGTATTTGCATTTTAATGTAATTAAAATCAGGTGCTTCCTAGTTGGCCATTTCAGCGTTTAGGAAATCACAAAATTTATCAACCTGTAGTTACTATTGAGATCTTTCAGGGTTCATAAAATGGAACTAAATTCAAGAAAGATTTCAAAAAGTATTTTCGTGTGTTTCGCAAATGGAAAAGTGCTCAACTGGGAAGTGACCTTCAAATCTATATTGTTGCTCTTATCAAAGCTTTTAATGATTGTTGATGATTAAATAATGTGATAGTTTCTGTAATTTCTAGTTTATTGCATTCAGATGTTTAAAGTCGGGATGATTTATAGTTGATTTGTGAATCCGAAGCGAGTGAGGAGCAGCGTGCGCGTTACTGCGACGGTATTATGAAAAATTACAATAAAAATAATAAAATAGTGAGTGAAGTTTTGTTTCCTTTTCCCAAACGATCAAAATATCCCCATTTTGAGAAGTTCACTTTTTGAGAAATCCCCATTATTATACTAAAAGATCTGAAATTGTATAAGAAGTTAGGATGAACGTGGGATATATGCGAAGAAGTAGAAAATTTAGCAGTAGAAAGAAGAAAGTTACTGTTACTCTTAATTAAATGATAAAGGGCAATGAAACTACTTTGTTGCTAATAAATAAATAGTAATTTATTTAGAAGTTAAATAACAATATTATAATCTTCTTCTTCAATCTGGCCAGGTGGGGATTCTTGGATGGCTTGAGCATGGAGTGCAGGTGCGGTTTTGTTCCCCAGTCGATGAAGCACCTGATGTCATGCCCTGAGTGCCCAAGCAACTGCACTCAGGAGGATTTGATGAGTGCTACTGACAACGCCACTCTTGTGGCGGAGTTTTGGGCTGACACTGTGTAGGTTTGTTGTCGACACGAAAAGAAGAAGAATATTATAATAATACATAAGAAGTGGATTTCTGTTATTATAAAAATATCTTATTAGGGATTACTTTCAGAAACATAAATAGGTACAATATGTAATTAGGTAATTGCGCGAGAAGCAAATCTGTCAATATTGTAGGTTTACTATACATTTATACATAAAATCAGGATGTGGGTTAGTTATTATTTTATCGGACAAAATTAGTTGGTAACATTATGTTAGAAACTTTAGTATATTTTTCAGTCAGTCTTCAGTTGTTGGACTCGTTAACGTCGAGTTGAGCGGCTTTACAGAAATAGAGCCTTAACTTTTGAGCCTATGACGTAGGTACAGACATTAATTCTAAAAACTATTTGGACCCCACTGGTCCTAAAGATACGAGTAACAAACACCCTGAGACTATTTTTCTTTTTTCTAGGCAATAAGCGCGCAAAATCACACATCCAGTATTACTTGATATATTTACTGCTAAAAACATAACAACAATTATTCAGTAAGCGATATATTTTATTAACTTATTAGACCATCCAATAAATAGTTCTTACTCCTAATCTATACAAAATCCGATCCAAATTTCATCTTAATTCACATCACGTTTCAACCTGTCTTCTTGAAGTTCTATCTCAAAAAGACCTAACACCAATAACGGTCTTTAGACCACATTCTAAAGAACCGTCGCGTCTGAGCGCCAAGAGAAGAGTGCCGTCATGTAGGTACTTCCAAGTATGACCAGGACTTGTGGTGGGGATGCTTAGAGCAGGGCGTGACGCAGACGTGTCCGGCAGAACAGTAGAAACGCTAGAAGCGCCGCGAAGGCAGCTCCGGCTAGCAGAGTGTCGTCACGGCGGCTACCACCCGCTCTCTCTACTACGTTACTCTGTAATTAAAAATTGACATTAAGTCAAGAAACTGGCACATGGTGACCCAATGAATCACAGTATGTAACTTTGTTTATACATACTGATAATTTGCACAATGTACTGTAAAATACGGATTCTAGTGCAGCTCACAGTCCGAAAGACGTAGCGTAGGCACTTCAGGCGCAGGTATTCCAGTCGATAGACTGGCATATGATCTTGTGGAATAATGCGACAAACTCCTGGATGTAGGCAGAAAAGAGTTAATTGTAGAAATCCTTTGGAAATGCCTTTGTCTAGCGGTGGACGTCTTTTGGTGGAAACGAGTTCAATGTATTCACTGAGCGTAAGAAGGAGGTTCAGACCTTCTGAGATGCCTTACTTTCACAATTGAAAACATGCCTAGAGCCTACAAGGAATGCTTATAGGTTCAAAAAGAAGAGTATATGAAATTACAGAAACCTAATCCTTAAAGTGCTATTGAAACGATGACAAGAAGATAAAAATATCTTACCCATCCCCCATGCCTGATGGCCCACGGCGTGGCGCACTGGGCCACGTGCTTGGCCGCCCAGTCCACGGCACGACACCAGCCGCCCACGCGCACTGCGCGCGCGCACACCTCGCAAAGGAACGCTAGCACCACCAGCGCGCGCTGCTCTATGTGGGCACATGCCTGTAACAGACATAATGTAATGTCCTTTAACGCAATCAGATGATGGGAAACAAATTAACAAATACTTTTGGAAAATGCCAAACTTTCCTATCTAGAAAAAAAATGGAGAGAAATAAAAATAAGGTAAGTCTGCCTAAAACCATTTATGATTAATTCACTTGATTTTTTTTTTATTTTTTTGTTTTTTTTTTTTCAAGTTCGTAATTCTGGGTTTATTAGAGAATAAATTTTATAATAATAGGTACATTAACTTAAAATGACTTAAAAACTAAAATTTAAAAATTCACTTGATTAGAATGAGATTTTTGATAAAGTAACGACGGTAGACGAGGCATGGTAATGATATTTTTTTCCATTTACGAAAGAATTTCGAGAAAATAACAAAAAAATAACTAGCTTAATAATTGGACAATCTTACGACGACTGTTCCTTAGCTACCTACATTAAAGATTCACTGTTTTCAAAATTTCTTACAAATATTTTTTTACCTATTTACTTCTATTTACCATATTTACCATATTAAAGTCACTTCATTATGGTCTACATCTTTTAGTAACAATAGACATCGTTAAAACTATAAAAACTATATTATCTACCTGGCACAGCTCCTGCATGATGTCTTCAAAAGCCACCTCATCTAGACCGAGGAGGTTGATGTGTTCAGCTCTCTCCGACAGCATCGCTCGGGCTTTGGACTCCCGAAACCTTCTGGCTGCTCGCTCTAGGGCTCGCCAGTCGCGCCAGTACATCCACCAGCCCCTGAAGATAAAGAAAGAAGACATTAGTACCAAGAATTTTAACTGCTGAAGAAATAGTAGCTTCTGGAATTATGAAGTCCATAAGTTACTTTATAAACATCACAAATTCTCCAAAGCTTGAACTTTTGATTGTCTATACTATAGACTCTATAGTGATAAAGTTGAAAGTTATCTATGATTATTTCAATAAACCATTCAGGAGCTGGAGATAGTTGAAAATCGGTTTCTTTACTTCATCAATGAGTTTGCCAGTTCGTAAGTAGGTATTAGTAAGTCACCTAGATACACTTAAAATATGCCTGTAATCTAGATAATATTTGATTCAATCTGTCCTTGAGCTACTTACCTCTGATCAGGTCTAGCTGGCGCTGCTATACAAGGGGGAGGCCTCAGTTCCTCCATCCTCAGATGCTGGAGTAGCAACGCCCTGAACAGCCTGACGCCTTTCTCCTCTTCTTCACCCTGGAGTTCTGGTCCTCTCCAATGTCCGAGGCAGTCCTCACGACGCTCCTCATCCAGGGAGACTTGTCGGAGGAGTGGGGCTCGTGGTCCATCATAGTCTTCTAAGGACTGAACACTGCAGGCTGAAAGCAAACATAAACGTAACATAATTGACATGTTTTCGATGTTTTGTTAATTTATGTTTTAAAAATTTTTTGGAAGTACGATTCATCAAAGAAACCAAATTATAGACTTGATAGAAGTTCAAAATACAGACGTAAACCGATAATTTGGTATTTATGTCCATATCAAAATAAATCAACATTGTATTTGTAAGAAAGAGTCAAAGAATCCAAACGCTTCACATTCATTATGCTCAAATATTTATGCGGATAACATAGCTTAATCAATTAATTACTTAGCACCTATTTAATAGAAAGCAAAATAGTCCAATGTGAGATTCATGTCAAAATTTCGAGCATTCGTTATGCTCAAGAATCTCGAATAACTTGTTTCTTGCTTTTAGTATTGAAAATATTTACTCGCCACATTAATTCCCCAAATTACCATCCCATAGCAACAACCGCACGCCCCAAGCTATTGTTCTAACCTCTTCACTATCTATTTTAAGACACTATCATTCCAAAAGCAATCTAAAGTACCTTGTACAGCAAGGGGTGGTATTAGATCCATTTCAACGAGACACTAAGCACCGTACACCAAAGGAAATTCTGAATCTTTTCCAGAAAATGCAGGAATAACACAAGTTAGGCAGAAGTGAATCGCTCCTAGCTTCACGGGGATATGACAGCGAGTACTGGATGCTAAACATTCGCGACCTTGGTAGCATCAGGTCATGGCCCTGACATGGTTTTTGGCGCATGCGTGGCTGTGAAGAGAAGGAACAAAACAATTATTATTGTTCGTAAGCTTCAGAGCAAAACTTGCAATGATTTTCTGTCGAACATACTACGCTAACAATGAGGTGATAACAAGAAAACAACTTCAAAAGGCTGGAAGAACCCTTAGTGAGCTATGCTTGATGTAGGTCAATTATGTAATACGGGTCATACCTTATCCTTGACATACTTTATGTACGAAGGACTTCCTCTCCCAGTCAATTAGGGTAATCAGGATAATAATTGTCCATTTCTTTTATAAGTTTAGATGACAATACTCTCTTATTATCAGAAAATATAACTATGAATAATTGATATAATATGATTGAAGTAGGTAAATAGGTACCTACCCAATTTATTTTCAAATCTAGATTGCGCTATTAATAGGGATTGGTATAATTTAAACAGAAGCTTATTATTTTGTATCCTAAACAGACAGTTTTAACCAAAAATATTTCAATAAATACAATATTCGTTTCAACGAAAATATTTCTACAACGGCCAGTCTTAATACGCGAAACTTATTTCTATTTCGCTCTACTTTTACATATCAAAATTTAAACATACCTACCTAGGAAGAAATTACGAGTTAAATACTTATTTCAGTACGATATCCCAGCTTAAACCAAAGTATCAAGCTAAAGTAGTAGAACAGAAACTGGATAAGTACCTACATTAATAAACTCCTGGCTAGGGCGCAGTACTACGGCTGTCGAACGGCTGATTGAGCTCGTCGCCTTAATAGTCTCCCAATTGTTATCGCGACAGTCCGCATTGTGCAACCACGCCGGCAGGAAGACGCACATTGGAGGACCACATCCAGATAACCGCGATATGCTCCAAACAAAACCAACAATATTACAGTTAAAACTCTAACTAACGCCAATGAGTTAATAGACAGTGCAGCTGAAGAAGACAAAGATGTGAAGATGAGTGATACAAGCAAAAAGAAACCGTGTGCTACAGACAATTGCTGCAAAAAACTTTCTGTTTTCGCGTGTGCGTGTGCGCTGTTCTCGCTAGTCGTTCAAGCAGTTAACTATGTAGAAGTAGACTTAAATAAGTGTGCTGATGAAGACACCAGGAGATTAGTTGAGAAAGCTGTAGAAGAGAAATTTAAGGAGAAGTTCGAGGAGCACCTTTCGGATGTTACAGGGTTCACATCACATAGGATTAAAAGAGAAGCCATGCTCGTAAGTTTTGAATATTTTTATAGTAGAGACACGTTCGTGTCTAGTCAATTGGGTCAAAGTTCATGCTAGACTATGAATGAGTGGTAGATAGTACGATATTATTAGGTCCAATCCGAATTTATCACTCTGATTGAATCTTGACTGTCTTGTAACTAGGGCATGCAAAAACCGAGCGGTTTGGAAAAACCGGTTTTTTCGGTTTTTATTTTAAAAAACCGAACTAAACCGGTTTTTTCGGGTTTTTCGGGTTTTTCGGGTCGACTGTTTGTAAGTAAATAAAAATGCTGCAAATTATTATAAAAATAATTTTATTTCTTTTATATTCTAGTTTGACAAGATGAAGTTACATGTTCTGAACATAATATTGTGAGATCAATTGAATAGTTTAATTAAAAATCAAATATAAAGAGATCAACAATAGGATACTTCGCTCATTAGCAAAGCAAAACCTTTGGTCAGGACTTCTTGGCGGGAATCTGAAGCGTCATGTTAGCGGTTTTGTTTTATTTCCTCAAAATCGTGTGTGGGCGACTATTAATGTGTAATAATGGTGGATTATTAACCATTGAGTGTTCGTGAACGTCCATGGGTGTGGGCAAGTGAAGCAAAACAGTGCATCGTGATTCTTCTGGTTCTCTCAAGTTGTCCATTGGAGGTCTCAGTAAAGCACCACAACTTTACTGAGACTCAAAGGGTGGGAAAGGGTATCATCTATCATCCTTCATTATATCATTACTTGATCTCATTTTGTAACTCGTATCACTTATATACTGGAAAATGGCACAAATCAAGTCGACCTCGACGTGTATTGCCAACATCATCAAAAAAGAAGAAGAAAATTTGGTCATAGTTATGCTTATTTAAATAATATGTAAGTTGACACTGACAGAGACTAGCAAAGCAAAAATAATGGCGGCAATGGTCAAATACAAAGCGCGTTCCATTTTGCGCCCGCGCGCTTATAGCTTTAGCTAGAAGATACATGGTACTTTAGTTCAATACCATAGCCATAGACTATACTCTACTCATTCACATTGCATTCATCATCATTCATCATCATTTCAGCCATAGGACGTCCACTGCTGAACATAGGCCTCCCCCAATGCTTTCCATGTTGATCGATTGGCAGCGGTCTGCGTCCAGCGCTTCCCTGCTACCTTTACGATGTCGTCGGTCCACCTTGTAGGTGGACGTCCCACGCTGCGTTTTCCGGTACGCGGCCTCCATTCCAGAACCTTTCTGCCCCATCGGCCGTCAGTTCTGCGTACTATGTGCCCTGCCCATTGCCACTTCAGCTTGCTAATCCGTCGGGCTATGTCAGCGACTTTGGTTCGTTTACGGATCTCCTCATTTCTGATTCGATCTCGCAAAGAAACACCAAGCATAGCCCTCTCCATAGCACGCTGTGCAACTTTGAGCTTCTGTATAAGGCCTATAGTGAGAGGCCACGTTTCCGAGCCATAAGTTATCACTGGTAACACACATTGGTTATACACTCTAGTCTTCAGGCATTGAGGTATTTTGGACGAAAAGATGTTGCGTAGTTTCCCGAACGCTGCCCAGCCGAGTTGGATTCGACGATTGACCTCCTTCTCGAAATTGGACCTACCTAGCTGGATCGTTTGTCCGAGGTAGACATACTTGTCGACAATCTCGAGAATTGAGCTCCCAACTGAAACTGGGTAGGGCGTAACATGGACATTCGACATAAGCTTCGTTTTGTCCATGTTCATCCTCAGGCCTACCTGTTGGGAAACTCGATTAAGGTCTTCGAGCATTGTGCCAAGATCTTCCAACGATTCTGCCATGACCACAATATCGTCGGCAAACCGAAGGTGAGTGATGTACTCGCCATTAATGTTTATGCCGAATCCTTTCCATTCCAGGAGTTTGAAAGCGTCTTCCAATGCAGCGGTGAACAGTTTCGGAGATATAACATCTCCCTGCCTAACGCCTCGCTGCAGTGGAATCGCCCCCGTGCTCTGCTCCTGTACTCGGACCGACATGGTGGCGTTTTTGTACAAGCACTTCAGCACCTCGATATACCGATAGTCAATACGGCACCGCTGGAGAGATTGTAACACTGCCCAAGTCTCAATCGAATCGAAGGCCTTCTCATAGTCCACGAACGCCAAGCATAGTGGCAAGTTATACTCCTCAGTCTTCTGTATAACCTGCCGCAGCGTATGGATGTGGTCTATGGTACTATAACCTTTTCGGAATCCGGCTTGTTCGGGAGGCTGGAAGTCATCGAACCTACGCGCGAGACGGTTCGTGATGACTCTCGAAAACAGTTTGTAGACATGACTCAGAAGCGAGATGGGTCTGTAATTCTTCAGCAAGGTCTTATCACCTTTCTTGAAGAAGAGCACCACCACGCTTCTGTTCCATGCCTCTGGCGTAGTTCCCTGGAGTAAGACGGAGTTAAAGAGTCTCTGAAGGACTTTCAGTATCGGTGTTCCACCCGCATTCAGAAGCTCCGATGTTATTCCGTCATCACCCGGTGCCTTGTTGTTCTTTAGCTGTTTGAGAGCCATCCTAATCTCGTATAGGCTGATGTCCGGGATATCTTCGGTATAGTGTCGAGTTAGCTTAGCTCTTGGATCTGAAGTTGAGCTATCAACGGGTTTGGTGACCGAGGTATATAGCTGTCCATAAAACCTCTCGATCTCACCCAGAACCTCGGCTTTTGTTGACGTTACACTACCGTCCGCCGTCGTTAGCTTCGTCAGCTGGCTTTGCCCAATAGAGTTGTCTCTTGCGAACACTTTGGAGCCTTGGTACCGCTTCCACATTGCATTACAATAATTGTTTTTATTGATATGACTAAAGAAGCGTGTTCTTGTATGAGTTATTAAATTATCTAAAATCGTAGAAGAAAAACCGAAAAAACCGAAAAACCCGGATTTATAACTGACAAAAACCGAGTTCCAAATTGTGTCGGTTATCCGGTTTTTTCGGTTATCCGGTTAACCGGTTTGCATGCCCTACTTGTAACGTATAAACGTGTATTTAGGTACATACATAATAATAATATAATATCCCCCAACCTAAATATTCTGCTACTTCTATTGCGCTGGACGTATAACAACAGTATCTGTTGTAACGGCCATGGCTGAAGCCGTCGGTGTTTGACACGGTTTTAATCTCCATCCACTCTTGTGGCAGAGTTTTGGGCCGACACTGTTTAGGTTTGTTGTCGACACGACAAGAAGAAGAATAATCTCCATCAGTATAAAAAAAAACATTTTACGGAAATTCAATTAGATCCATTTCTACAACTGGGTACCCAACTATACCATGTGGTTTTTACCACATGGGGCTCCATTCCAGAATCTCTGACACTCGAAAGATGTAAGAAACAAAGGTTTAATCCACTTGCATTTTTAAGACTCTTTCTTTTTAATTTTTCAAGAAACCGTCACCAATCCAAGAAGACAACACAGTGGCTCCACACGTGGAGTTCTTCAACCCCAAAATGCAGGCGGAACTAGAAGAGAAGGACGCAGCAGAAATGAAGAGGACCGGAGCCAAGGGCCCAGCCCCTGGAGGTGACACGTGGGTCTGGCTGACCAGCTACTCCAGGGTCCCGGTAATAATATCATCATAATTTTTTTCTATAATCCAAAACGAGGAAGCTCTTGGCATGTATCTCACCTGATGGTCAGACTGAAGTTGTAAGCGAGCTTCACCCGGAATCCTCAACCACAGAGGAACTGGCTATCTTACCTGTAACTGCCGAAGCACAACAATGCTATTTAAACTTAGGTATTTTATTTGTCTATTATTTATCAATAAGCATTTATTTTGGTCAGTTGACTTTGGAAATACCTGGCCTGCAAATGGGGGGTATTTTCGTAAAAACTCTAAGACTGAAAAATGTGCTCTAAAACATCTCAATTGATTCATGGTGTCCTATACTATTGCACGAGACAATGGTCCACATTAATCCGTCATCCGTAGATTGAACGTGATTCATCATTGCAAATCATGTTGCGGGATATTTTATCCCCCATTCTCCAAGTTTATCAAGGTTTAATGTGTGCAAAACCGAATTTTGACCGGATGGTGGTGTTTTTATTTCTGTGGCACTTGATTTACAAAACTGTAAAGGTTATCTTGCTTCCTACAGTACAAAGTCGTGCAAGGTTTCTGCAAAGCGACACAAGACTACTGCCCCCCAGGAGTCCAAGGCCCTAAGGGCCCCAGCGGTGCGCCAGGCCCTAAAGGCGACAGAGGCGACCCGGGGGCACCAGGAACGCCGGGACATTCGGGAGGACGAGGACCATTGGGACCTCCCGGACCAAAAGGTAACTTGATAGGTATAGGTATTACCAACAGCTACGATACATACATTTTAAATACAATAAAGGTAGATAGGTACTTGGATACTTGGATATACCTGTGCTATATTTACTCGTATGTAATTTTTGCACTACGAAAAGTGTTAGATGACGTCAAAAATGTTTTGTAACTAATCGTCTGAGTGCATGCTGGACAAGGGCGGCTACACGTCTGAGGGCCGCGAGCTTAAGTGTAAGAGTCAAATTATAACCTAACCTAGCTCCCATGGACAAAGTATTCGTGGACAGCTTTAATCTATGCGGTGAATCCACTACTATTGTAAGTATAGACCGCTACGACACCGTCAACCTTGATGACGTACTGGCCAACAAGCTGCTGACGGTGGCCTACATCAAGTGCATGTTGAACAAGGGCGGCTGCACGTCTGAGGGACGGGAGCTTAAGTGTAAGAGTCAAATTATAACCTAGTCTAACCTAACTCCCTTTGTTTGTCACATGTCATCCGCTTAGTAATGGAGGGAAGTCGAACCTTAATTTCGAACTCCTATGTTCTTCTGATTAATTTCGTTGCGGGTCCAATGACAGTCTAACTTTCCCCCGGGACAAACTTGACCTTCATTGATTGGGTTTTTGTGGCGGTCAAGCTGTAGATCCTGGCTACACGGGAGTCTGAACAATCCAATTAAGTACTGTGCGATATAAGTAGATTAGGTTTACGCAGGTTTTACTTGATTTGATTACATTATCGTGCAAATGCGTATGTCAGCGTAAATAGCCTACCTCCATTGTCGATAGCTAAAATAGAAAACGTGTATGTATTAATTAATTAAAAAAAAGATTCAGCCAAATATGTGAACTTCGTAGAAGAACAAACACCTTCGATCCCTCGTCGTCCCAAAATCCTTTCATCCTTCATCAAACTGATCAATTACCTCCTTAATTCCAGGTGAACGCGGATTCCCCGGTAACCCGGGTTTAGACGGGCGGGACGGGGTGCCCGGCGAACCGGGTCTGGACGGCATGTCCGGACGAAACGGCGCTGATGGAGCGCCGGGCAAGGACGGACGCGACGGCACCCCAGGAAAGGATGGCAGCCCTGGGAAGAATGGAAAAGACGGCAAAGATGGTGCGTATACTACATGTCGACCATCCAGCATTATTACGACGAGTAACTGCTCAATTGACACGGTTTACCAATGTGTCCGTATCTGGTCAGAGAGAAAATGCAAGTTCGAGTCTCGCCTGAGGTGAAACTCACTATTTTTGATGTGAAAAGAATAACAAATCATCAAGCTTTGTCCTTCTTTACAAATTACTATCAAAACTTGATTCATCAAACTTTGAGAAACTTGAGATTCGCTGACTCCATACTTCATCAGTTCTGCCACAGATATTACAACCAGCCCACCAATTAAATAGGCTATATTTTTGAACTAAGTACGTATGTAGGGGAACTAAAACCTAATTACTTCTATTGGCTTTCTGCCGAATAATCAACCTATGCGTAACAAAATCATTTTCACAGGTAGAGCAGGGGCCCCCGGCCCGTCCGGCATCCGAGGCCCCAAAGGCGACCGAGGCCCCATCGGACCCAAGGGCCAGAGGGGCAATGACGGCCGAGACGGGGCCGCGGGGAGGCCAGGGCTATCCATATACAACTACACCAAGGAAAAGGAACTACTCATACCGCCTACATTTGCTCGTGAGTATAAACAAAGAAATACCTAAATGTTAAGAAAACCGTCATGAAGTAGGATGCCTAAAAGGGTTTATTGATTCATAAAATTGTAGTGATTCTAGAAAAAAGAACATAAACTTTAGCCTGTTAATTAATACAAGCTATCATCCAAGAATGCCAGCTAAATCCATAGAAACCTCACCCGTACTCAGCCTTATCCTGGAATAGTTTAATTAAATGTCAAAGAAATAGAAATTCTTCGCAAAAAAGGTAGCATTTTCCAGTCCTGGAAAATATATTTTGGAAGGGAATTCTCTTAGCTCCTTATGCTCAATTCGATTCCGCTGGTACGTTCCAAGTGTCTTTTTGCGTGCTAACACAGAGTTTATAAACTTACTCAAAGTATCGTTGGTAGTTTTCCCACAAAACTTCTGTAAGTTACAAATTAATTTGGCCGAAGCACGCGCTTTCTGACCCTAATTTGGGTCACGAAATAACATTGCAATAAAACTCTTAGAACAGGTTCAAGAAACCTATTTGAAAAGGTCAGCGTCAGCATTAGATGAAATACTCGTAAGTCCAGAAACATTGGCTTGCAAGAATGTCGATATTCATAGACTACGTACCGGGCTTTTATACACTTTAGTAAGTTTAAGTAACCTACCCATGACCAGGAGTGTAACAGATCAAAAGGGCACTCGGTGCCGGTGATGGTTTAGAGAACCGAACTCTACCATAATGAAATGGTTAATATGAGAGCTCTTGACATAAAGATAATTTCGGAATACAAAGTGTTTATTGATGACTAGCTTTTGCCCGCGGCTTCACCCGCATGAAATTTCGTTTCTCACAGATCATCATAAATTACAGCCTTATATGTTATGGGTTATAAACAATAATACTCTAAAGTTTCATCAAAATCCGTTCTGTAGTTTTTGCGTGAAAGAGTAACATACATTCGGACATCCAGACATCCAAACTTTCGCATTTATACTCGTAATATTAGTAGGAAGTAGGATTTAGGATTTGGCACATTTCTTTTAAATAATCTGGACTAGATCACTCCAGAATAATGCAACTCACACCCTACTTTATGACTTCCAAAACTTTCAGAGGACCACACGAGAGTGATCGTCCGCGAGAGTGACACCCTCCGCATCAGCTGCAACCCTACAGGGCGGCCAGAGCCGGCGGTGGAGTGGCGGCGATCTGACGGGACTGCTGTCATCCAGGTAGGAGTGAAAACTGATACATATAACATGCGCTTTCAGAGAACCACAAGACACTGATAGTCAGCGAGAGTGACAGCTGCAATCTCATAGACGTAGGGCTGACGGGACTGGCTGTCATCCAGGTAGGACTAAAGACTGATACATAACATACGCCTTGAAAGGATCACACGAGTGACAGTTCACGAGAGCGGTGGGCTGACGGGAGTACTGTCATCCAGGTCTAATAAGAAAGCATACGCCTTCAAAGGACCACACGAGTATTATCACTCGTGAGATCTCGTTCGCGAGAGTTACACCATCTGCATCAACTGCAATTCCATGGAACGGAGGACTGACGGAACTGCGGTCATCTAGGTAGGAGGTACAACCTCAGAGGACCTCTAATTGATTTGAACTTAAAAATCATACACTCTACAAAACATTTCGTTTATTTATTTGGTATTTCTTTGTATAAAAACATCAGTAAATCTTTAGAGCATTGCGGCATCGACAGTAGATCCCACAAAAATCTGCAGTAAAAAGTCTAAACGTTATCGCAGAGCGTTGGCGCGTGCCCAACTCGCGCTTTATTGCCTGGATTAGATTTTTTGGCCTGGCTCTGCTCGTTTTGATTCCACGTGTTGAAAAATGTGTTGGAAAAATTCTTTCATTTAACAAACGACTTATATATCGACGGTCCCTACGTATAAAAACGTATCTGAAAACGGCCAATTTTACAGGAGAGCGGTTTGAAGGTTTAAACATGTGTAGCTCGCGTTCTATTTATCATACATTGATGAAATTTGGTATAATAGTTTTATATGAGGTATATTTTATAAAACATGAAGAATTATCAAAAAATAATCACAATAAGTGTATTATTTGTCATTTACTCACTTATACAACGGAAAGTTTCTAATTACAAATGACGTAAGTGGCACTTACTAACTTTTACGTCGGAGTAATATATTTGTTTAAATTATTAACTGCCACATAAGTAATTGTACACGGGAACAAAGTTTAGCTACTACTGACCGTAACTCTCACTCTAGGCCCATAGTCCTGCTCGACGAGGCATAACAGCGTCCCGCCTCGTTTCCCAGATAGTTGCATTTTGGAGGTACTCAATACCTTAAGATTCTTCCTTATCTAAGGAGTCTTTTGACTGAAGAATACTTGTAGAACCGGTAAATTTTCTTTGTCAATAATGCCGGCCAGGTTTGACAGCATGGCATCGAGTCCGAAGATCCATATGGCTCTTTTTTGAGTTCGATTTTGTGGAACATTGAATACAACTGGGTACTAAATGGAACCCTTTTCAAGGACATGGATATTTCAATATTTCATATTTTCTGTCATGCAGATAGTTTCATCATTACAAGAATATCCTCATAAATAAATAAATAACTATCACAGCGAGGCGGCTTGCCTGGGCAAAACAGACGGCATTATGATCGCCCTAGGCCAGGGACCACAAATATTTAAAGGCATCCCTGACACCTTCACCTGACGCCCACACCACTGTCAAAACTAAGGCCCAGATCAAATATCTAAGAATTATCCTGTTAATCAACAGTGGCGCAAAGTAGTGAGCGCAAACACAGTGACCTTAACTGTATATAACCAGTGGCAGCTCGCACTTTTTCCAATCCGTCGCCGTGCGAATGGAAGACAGCTTGCTTTTTCGTGGCTGCTTCCCTAATTTGGAGGTGCGAAAACTCTATGTCGGAAGGCTATGGAGAAAGACCGGGAGCTCTATACTGGTACCCTCAAAAGCATGATTCTGTCCCATCCAAGGTATCACCCTCATAGGGAAGGGTAACGCTGCCCATTTTCTAAGACCTTAACAGTCCCAGAAAGTCTACAGGGCTACATCGTCGGCTTTAACGCAGCGTGAAGAACGAGGTGAAAGCTCCGCGCGGAGGACAGACAGGCCGTTTGACGTGAGACTCGCTAGACTGTGCTGTAGTCTAATAGTTGATAAACCACCTCGCCGTGGGCCGTGGCTAAGTTGGGTCGCCGAACCTTATTCGCACTCGTGCTGAAGTTTAAGGTTGCTCTAGCGATCGCACCATGACTGGGCACGGATCCTTTGAGTCCTACCTGTATTGCGGTGGCTAGGAGCATACGACACACTATATTCTTGGGGGATAGCATAGTCAAAGCTATGTGGACGGTAACAAAAGTTGGGTGGTAATGAAGCACCTCTATCTGAGAAGACAAGGTGCCGCAAGAAGCTGCAGTACGATAGCGCTACTACGAACCAAGTGCGGGTGCATTTGAATTCGCTCCAGGGAAGGTGACAGTATGATTGCCTCCTATCTTCCTTCCTCGGTAATGACCAGCGTAACGGGGTCGTGAGGCCGCACGGGAGGCATTACATAGATAGGCCACCACCACCGTTTGCTGTCGGTGAGTGTGTGTACGGAAAAGCTGTGTACTTCCAGTTGCTCTCGTCCTATCTATCGCCGTGTAGGTGGGAAATATTTGTCCGGAATCTCAAAGTTAGCACTTATGGCGAGTGACGGGGCACCAGGGTATTTTTAGTGGGTATACCTCATCCTTCTGATGTTTGCAATATCATGTAAGCATTATCATGTAATAGTAGATTCTAAATGCAGTTAATTTAAACTTTTGTTTGTAAGTGTTACCTGCTTATTTTTATTTCTGAATGCCTTAATATGCCTAATAAATAAATAAAATAAATTTTACGATTTTTTACTTGTATCTTGTATTATAAAGTATCATAGGAGAAGAACTTGGTTGCGTTGTCTAATAAATGACCCTAGATACTTCAGTCGTGTTCTATATCATATTTTATATTGTTTTGTCTTCACATTTATGTCCACCAGATATTGCTAAAATACAATTTCTCAGCGTAAAACACCGTTACTGGCACTGACTTATAGACATAAAACAAACTTTTACAAAGTAAAACATTTATAGTGGCAGTTACAGCTAGAAGATACTTGAATTTTCCGACGTAAAAATAAGTAAGTGCCACCTACTTATAATAGTAACTTTAATTGTCCCGAGTAAAACAACGCAACTACCTTATGCCTACAGTTAACTGATTAATTTGCCGTTGGTATAATGTTGAGTGAAATAAATTAAGTCAGAAACCATAATAATACCTATTTCCTTCATAAATTACGTATCAATTTACTCGATCTGCGCGAATGAAAGTGGCAGTTACGGGGCTGGGCGCGCGGAGTAAGGCGTGCGGTTCAACGTAAAATTTCTTAACTCCCACTAATGCAATTTTACTGCGGAAATCGTTCTAATTTTGTAGTTGCGGGATTTGTTTTTTGACGTTTTAAGGTTCAATTTGAATAAAAACTGTATGTTTTTTTTACTGAGCCGAAACTGTTGGGTGCTCTGAAGGTTTTGCAAACAAAAACGGCAAATCACGGAACTGGTAGATACTGAACTATACGTAGGGACCGTCGAAATGTCACCGTAAAATTGTGAATTCCGTCAGATTATAATCTGACGTAGTTAAATTACAATCTAACCTAACCTAACCCACTGTTAGTTTACAATCTAACGCGTTATATTATAAACTGACAGAGTTCACAATTTCACGTTGACATAAACACCGGGAAAAGCATGGCACGAAATATTATTTCATCAAAATTAAAATGACTTACTAAAGCTTCATTTTATTAAACGAATTGTTATTAAATTATAGCCTAATCCACATCAAACAGCGAGTATATACCTAAATTCCTACAGTAAGATTTCTTAAGTGCTATTTTGAAATAAAAATATTATTTATAAATGCCTAGCAAAAAGTAAACGAAAATGAGATTTCCAGCAGTAGAAATCTATAAGTCTTGAGCCAGGCCCTTGTCTTGCTGCATACGTCTTTTGGTCTTACACCTCTTTTGCTGGTTAAGGGAACGATCAAACGTACACTGAATTTGCTTCAAATTGATACCCAGTTTACTTCCTCAGGGGTCCTGGCGAGACGCGTCGGTCAGCGGCCATTTGCTGAACATCCCGAACGTGTCCCGCTGGCACACGGGCAAGTACGTGTGCCTCGCCAACAATGGCATGCTGCCCTCCGCCAACCAGACCACCGACGTGGAGGTCCATTGTGAGTTGACCTACATCCTCCTCCTCATCATTAGGTCCTTTCTCCACTGTAGTAGTACGAACCTCTCTAATAGGGGCATTAAAATTTTGTAGCTAGTTCGAAAATAAATTGAACACAACAATTGCGAAACGAAAAATAACGACTTAATTTAAAAAGAAGTTTTGTAAATGTATACCACCTTCTTTATAAGCTTGGGCCTCTACAGAGGATACGTCCAGCAGTAGACTGCCTTATATCGATAAGATGAACTATGAAAATCAACTGTTGTAAAACTGACTCGTCTCTTTCTATTACTTTTTGCAGTTAGTCCGTACATCCGAGTGCCAAACAATGTCGTCTACGTCTACAATAAAACTGCCAAGTTTGAGTGTGAGGTAAGAATTACTACCGTCTTTATATCAGCAAAAACCCAATCTTATAGTTATTTTACAAAACTGGTAGCGCTCTTTCATCTGTGGCTTCCACGAATACTGGTGCCATGTCCCCAGAACACGACATACAGAGTGTTTATCATGTTGGTTAATTCAATCTCTTTGATTCTCTTGCACTATACTTTTATTCTTTCAATAGTTCAAATAAAGTATCCATCATTGGATTCTAGGTACAAGCCTGGCCAGAACCGGTCCTCGCGTGGGAATGCGACGGAATCACACTTGAGGGTCCCCGCTACCGGACTGAGGTGGTCACAACGGCAGACCCTTGGCGGTGGATCATGAGGCTGGAAGTGCCCGGGATCAGGGACCACGACTTGCGGCAGTACAGCTGCGTGGCCAAGAATGAGTTGAATAACCAGACTGTGAAAGGGCATATCAAGCTGTTGTGTAAGTCGTCAAAATACTTATTTTACTGATAAACAGTTTATGTACCTACGTATAAGACCTTGTTACGAGTAGTTTGAGTTCTGCCCTCAAAGATTGCCTTTTAATATGAACTGCCAGTGTTAATTGTTATTTTTACTGTCATTTCACAGCCTATATTTTGTTAAAAAAAAATTTTTATTCAAATCCCGAGTAGTATTTTTTTTAAATCTATTCACTTTCACCATTTCAATAGCAGAGTCACAAGATGATTCACAGCGCGATAGGAACGCAGTATATTTTTCGAAGTTGATACCCAACTCTTTACCAAAATTATTTATCAATCAAACCTTTCTATCCAGATCCCGGCCCCAACCACCAGATGACGGTACAGCAGCCGATGGAGTTCGGCTCCAGGCCTCCGGTGCTGACCTCTTACGAGGAGTTGTGCCACGTGCAGAGGTGTCCCTCGTGTCCAAGATGTGATCGAGCACAGCTGCTGATATCCACCATGAATGCTACTGCCGGAATTAAGCCCAGGAGGAATACGAGTAAGAGACATGATTTTTTGAAGAGGTATTGACAGTCGATTCCACAGAAGTCTACAGTAAAGAGGGTTAATAATCGCATCGAAGCGTGCCTAACTCCTGCTTTAGAGGCTTTGGCTTGGCTTTGTTCCTTTAAGTTCCACGTATTTCTTCTAGACTTTTGGTCTCCCTGAATTGTCTCCTTTAAGGGACATTATGGGAACCGAAAAATTCGCTTCTTGATTGACTTTTGATTAGTGTGATTTGAGTCGTACGTATGCTTGTAATCTGCTATAATTTCTTATTTACAGACTGTCAACTCTACGCAATTGGCAAACCAGTCTACCACCGTTACAAAGACGAGCTATTTGGGGCTTGGCTGAGAGACTCTAATGCCAGTGAAGCTCAGGTACCAACTACAAAAAAAAATACGTCAATCAGTCACTGTATAGCAATATGAATCATATGGCAATACCTACTTTGTTACAGAGAGATAAGTTATGGACAACTCAAGAAAATGACATTGAGAGGCTCCGGGAATACAGGACTAAAGCCAGCTTCAAGGCTGATCACGTGGATGAGTTCCATAAACTACAAAAACCTTTCTTTGTAAGTTACTTCATAATGACAGCTATTTCTTAGGTCAAATACCAGATTTTCTACAACTGCAAAGCACTGAGCTATAAAGTCCTATAAAAAAGCTTACAACGTGATGCTATTTCACACTCTTCATCATCATATCATATACCTAGCTAGCTTACTATTTACCTTTATTTTAGCTTACTTTTTCTGTAATATTCTAAAACGAACCGTCTAATTTCGAATCTTGTGTAGGGCAATGGACACATCGTATACAGCGGGTCGTTCTTCTACCAAGCCAACGAGTCCGGACAACCGGGCGAGATCATCCGGTACGACCTGACGCAGAGCCGGATCAAGTCTGTGCACCTGCCCCACGCGGCTGGCAGGCTGTACTCTGCTCAACACAACCAGGTGGAAATACTTAAATCTTGAGTTTGAGCTTTTTGGAACACTATACATTGTTTTGGTCCTTCGAGCCGGATAAAAAACAACATGTTAAAAAGACGTGAAACAAAATCACCGACCCATTATTTTCATTACAGGTCGACTTCAGTGCAGATGACAACGGTCTTTGGGCCATTTATTCGATCGAGAACTCCAATAACACTGCCGTTGCTAAGGTAAGATCAATAAATTCTTTAAAAAACAATAGATCATTGAATTGGTTACAGCTCTTTGGTATTTTTTAAGATAATTTTTATAACATTAACCCTTTTCTTTTGAATTAATAAAGTAACATTATTTTACATCCACATATTGTTTCTTCTAACAGCTTAGCTTTGATCCCAACAAGGAAGGGCTGAATATCGACTACATCTGGAACATATCGTTGAACCACAAGCAGGTAATTTTCAATATACTTTAATGATGAAAGTATCAGTCTATTGTTCTTTCGTTTTGATAAAATGCTATTCACTTTTGAACAAAAGCCTCCCCCCCAAAGATTTCCACAATGTACCGTCTTGCTAACCGCTTCAGGTGGTACCCGCGACCTTTACCAGATCGCTACTATTGTTATGCCTGATTCCAATATTCCAAACAATTACAAAGTTCTAAAATGCCAATTTGATACGCAGATAAGTTTATTTCGCCAATCACCCCTATAAACCACAACAAATCATAACAAAATCCCAACCAATCGTCACGTTCATAGCCCTCATTAACTCAATAGTCCATCAACTCAAGGGGATCAACAAAACATAGCTTGTAAGCTACGTATTGTTGGATCTCTCTCTCTTTTCACGTTTGGTAGCAGACTGTATCCATTAGCAGACTTGCAACTAAACGCCCTTGGAGCTCAGAACTTTCGAAGTTCAATAAAAACTGTGAGCACATTATTAGGTACTTTAACCAAAATCGAAAAAGTGCCGAAAACAAAAAAAAAAGTTTATTTCGCCTTTGCCAGGTTGGAGAGATGTTCATAGTCTGTGGGGTGTTATATGCCCTGGACTCGGCCACAGAAAGAGAGAGCAAAGTGACAATAGCTATAGACCTATACCTGATGAAGCAGGTGGAGGTGTCGCTGCAGTTCACCAATCCTTTCAGGAAGACCACGCAGCTTGGCTACGACCATACACACAAGGTAATATTTTGGATGCCCTGAGTAAAAAAATAATTAATAAAACTGTCTCTGGCAACTTTAAGGTTTCCTAGCGAGAACACTAGCACTGCCTTAAAGTGGCGTACGAACTCTGTTTCTATTACTTCTGTTTGTTTTTAACGTTGCATAAAAGTACCTATGTAGTTAAAAAATTAAGCGCTCCTGCACACGACGTGGCGGCGCGGCGGCGGCGCGGCGGCGGTTTTACTCGGTGCGTATGAACAGCGTTCTTACCATGAGTTTACGTTAAGTGTGCTCGATAGCGAGTGCGTCAAAAAAATCTATAGAGATTTTATTTCTTGAAAGTAGCCGCTAGGGGCGCTGCACAATATGTCATACATTAAAGTGTCATTTTTTTACGCAGTCGCTAGCGAGCACACCTAACGTAAACTCACAGTAGAGTCTCAGTGTAGCGGCGCGACGACGGCGCGGCGGCGGCGCGGTGGCGGCGTCGAGTGCAGGAGCCCTAAGACTAATAAAGAGATGCATGGTGTATTGATTAATTAGTTGACTCTACCTAGGTAAATATTTAGTATAATGATACTGTATTATAAACGATTTCCTCTTAAATTATTCCCTTTTTTACAGGAGCTCTATTCTTGGGACCGAGGTAATCAGCTCACATACCCAGTTCGCTACAACGAACTTCCAGGCCCGTGAGCTTTTTGACGAATTTATGTATTTCAACATAATTTTATATTTTCTATTAAAATGAAACTTATACTACCACCAAGGTTTTACTCTAACGACATAGGTAAATATCGTTCTTTAAAAGCAGGAAATGAACTTCTCAAATGAATAAACAAAATTGTAAAAACTCTACATACAACGACATCTATCCTTTTGTGAAGTCAACCAATACTGTAAGCTTCATTCAAGCTTTCCTCAAAGCTCAGCTTACTAAGCTTAATTTAGTCCCAACAACTGACGACAGATGGCGCCGTTAATTATAATTTCAAGATTTTTTTAATTTACAAACCATACAAACCCGTATTATACATTCCAAAAAGTACGTAAATTATGTTTTTGTTTTAATAAATACACATTACAAAACCATAAATTATATTATCACCTTCGTTACTTATTGTACAGTAGAGCTTTAAAGCTTTCTCTAGCTGTTAGTTCCAACTGCCACCAAGAGATGGCGCTATACACAGCACATTAACTGGTGAAAAATGAATGCGGACCAATCGAAGCTCTAAAATAATTGAATAAGTTGTCAAGTACAGCCGGCCGCTGAAAAATTAACGCGCCAATCGATAGCACGAAATGGGTTTTGCATTAAAAATATGAGAAAATGCGACTTGGACGACTATTAAGCCGTGAATTAGTTATTGGCTTCCTTCGAAAGGCAATTAATTGTCAGTTCATTTGAGGTAACTCTACAGTTGTTTTACTAGATATCTTGATTACTAAATAGGACTAAAACTTATTATGAATCATTTGGCACTTTGACATGGGTAATTAGACCATCGATTCATCGCGTAGAGAGGTATTCGGTACTACACGGACATTGAAAAATGGTCAGTATAATGTTGTAAGTTTTTTAACCAATATTTTTATTCATGATCTATGATTCTAACCTAGAGTATTATTTTTTCTGTCTCTTTCTTCTCCATAAACATTCCTTGTATTCTGTACACAAAGTAGTCCGCAGTTGTAAACTTGAGGAACATCAAAGCCTCCCACACCCTTCCCTCATTACTTTTATTACAGTACCCAAGTATAGTGAGTGCCCCCTACCCACAAACTTATTTGGTAGCAAAGGGAACTTAAGATAATGTAAAGAGAAGAACTTAACTGAAGACTTTGTACGCGTGGATCCCGTTTTACCCAATTAGGAGTGGAGTTTTGTAAAATCCTTTCTTAGCGGAGGTCTACGTCATAACATCTACCTGCATACCAAATTTCAGCCTGATCCGTCCAGTGGTTTGGGCTGTGCGTTGATAGATCACTATGTCATTCAGTCAGTCAGCCAGTCACCTTTGAGTTGCATATATTTAGATTTACATTATAGAGGGGTGCCAAACCTAACGTTATAAGTGCCAGAAAATTAGAAAGGCCAAGCAGGAGAGACAAAATATTTTTAATTGAAAAATAAAAAGCACACTTTTCGTATTTCCTTACAATTAAGAGGATCATTCCAAACCACCATTAAGAACACCAAGAGACACCATAGCAAGAAACAAACGATTTATGGGAATTGAACCGAGGACCTGCGGATCGAGAGAGTCAATCTCTCTAGCCAATACACCACAGAGGCGATTAGTGTGCTTTAAAGTAAAAAACCATACAGTACAACACTCCTTAACTTATAATTAGACCATTTTCATTTGCTGCATCTAATTACCCAGTAATTTTCCAGTTCAGTCCAGTTATTTTCCAATTATAAAACATTTACCCATCTGCAAAGTTTCCAGCATTAACTATTCGATGCAGGCATTAGACATGTTTATTTTATATGCTCCACAGCGATCACAGCATAGGTCTCTATCCAAAAATGGCAAAGGCTAAGTCCAGGCTAAAATGGGCGATTAGTGATATAAAATTTAGAACAAAATGGCCGGCGGACCTGATGCCTGTCGCCTGATAAATTCACCGACCTAAATGCGGAAAGTGGAACTCACCACCGAAGCAAGGGATTATTTCAAGATAACTACTAAAATATTCGATTGGGACCTGGAATAACAATTTAGCGTTCTAATACCGCGGAATTTTTGATGTATTTCAGCAGTTATTTACAGAACTCCATTTATCAGTCTGATTCTATTTCTAACATAATATTGAGTTTGAGAGCAAATATGTATATTTAATTTCCATATTTTTTGCGCTCTACTTTGACGATAAATGTGCGACTTTTTGAACATTTTATTATTTTAATAATATTGACCCTACAGCAGGTAAAAGTTGTTTTTATTGCTATTCATATTCGGCACAACTTGACTTATTTTATTATGTGTGATAGCATTTTTATCGAAAATGTGGTTTTCGATTTTATTAATAAACTTTAACAGTTTAAATTTTTTATTCGTTTGAGATTTGATTAGGATAATAAAAGAGATAACCAACTCTACAAAACTAGAAAAAACCATAAAAGATAATTTAATAAACGTCAGCTCTACTCTTTTTTTTAATTGAAAAATAATCAAATGACACCTACAAAAGTTAATACCAAACTTTTATTTTTAAAAAAGAAAAACCCAGCCAGCACTAAGCGCCGAGTTCGCATTCCACGCCGTGCGTCGGTTGGGAACGCAGGAGAGCTCTCAAGCGGCCGGGCGTCGCTCAGTATCCCATCTGTACCCCCCATTTTTCGCCACAATAGCCGGCAATACATTCCGTGACTTGGCAGAAGTGATGTCGAGAATTTGGCCCCCTCCGTGCGATCAATACGTGCGCACAGCGCCATCTAGCAAGCAACGCGCAGCCAAATTGCAGTTTAATAGTTCATTAGATCCGACAAAAATGGCGGGGACACACAGTTTAAATTCGGAACGTATCGATTCGGGCGCGAAATGGGACGGTGGGATAATGCGTGCGAAGGTTTCATTTTTATTTTATTTTATTTATTTATATTAGGGAAACAAACAATTTTGATATACAGACAAATAATCACACAAAAAATAGGACAGAAATCAGCAAAGTTTCCACAGTTAAAATTAATACAGAGTGCAGACTAAAAATTAATTAAATAGTAATAAATTATACATTAATTTCTAAATGTCAAATAAATACAATGTCAATTTTATAAAATGTCAAACAGTTAAATTTAATAAAAATTATAAAATGTCAAAAAGTTAAATATTAATAAAATTATATAAATTAAAAACAATAATTATGTAGGTCAAAATTAAAATCAAGTTATATATTCAAACATTCTCTCAATTGTTTTTTATAAGATGGTAAGGAAGAATTAAAAATGTCAATCGTGTTAAACCTATTATTATATTCCTTACAAGATCTAGGTACAAAACTGTTGCTAGCATAATTAGTCCTAGTGAGAGAAATAGAAAAAAGTTTTGTAGAACGCGAACTCGTCCGAGGGCACCTAAAACTAATATTACTTAACAAAAAAGAGGAGTCAACATGGTTATTTAAAACTTTGTAGAGAAAGACTTGGTCTTTCTCAATGCGACGGTCTAAAAGAGATGGTACATTAGGAAGTGTTCCGCCAAACTTATCAGCTTTGTAACGTAAGTGTTTTTCAAACTTTTTGTTAGTTTTCATAATCGGTTTTGGACTCTTTGGTCTGGTAGAAAAAAAAATCGCTACTTCTTTTTCAGACGATAAAATCCAAACAACATTAGATACCAACTACATAACTATCTCTAGCAACTAACTAAATTGTTATTTAATTAATACAGACGTGTGAAGAAATAAATGTTTAGGTAATAGGAAGAGGTGAAAACTGCGCATGCTTCGTTTTAAACGATGAAATGCAAATAATCTAGCGCATTGTAATGCCGTGTCGACGCAAAATCGATGGCGATATCTATCGAGTGTGCCAAATTGAGTGGCGCTGTATATTCTTCTTCAAGAAGTATTTACTTCTGCTAATTGAATTAACATAATTAAAGTATTTGGTAGAGAGACCACGATTCAAATTAAAGGATTCGATTGATTTCAAGATGTAAGAATATTAAAAAGTTATCTATTGTATTATTTATTATTAATATTATTTTATTTCACTTACACGACACGAATAGGTACCTATATTTATGTATATAGTTATCAATAACTAGTACATACATATTAACGATGTGATAGATAGCGATTTAGTTTGCTACGAGTCGTAGCAACCGATTTGTCGTAGTCGTAGCATCTTTGGCTACGGCTCAAAACTATGACATGCGTTGTTGACAGCACAACTTTCTTTTTTTGACTTACGATGATGATAAAAACGAGAGTTAGTGGACTATTCCTCCGAAGGTGTTTTTCTCTGAACAGTGCCACTGTGTAAGTATACTTACACCCGTATTCACAAACGATGCTTGCATAAGTGAAGCAGCAAATCGAACGCACAGCGTTGAATAGAGCTCTGTGATTGGTTCGTGTGTCACCCTGTGCGTCCACGCGCACTGTGAGACCTCATAGTAATGTTTGTGAATACGGGCATTAGTTACTGCATCTTGATAGAGGGCGCAGCAGCTGCGTTTGACAAAACGCCGTCGGCTCTCAAGAACCTTTTAACCTAAATTACAGTGGATAGTGAAACAATAGAATATCAAAGACATATTTTGAGGGTCTTTTTCATCACTGGAGGTCTCTGATAGACTTCTAAGAAAATCTGTCAAATACGGCTCCGGATTTCACACAGAAATAAAATCATTTGGTTCACATCAGATATTCGAAAATAGTATTTATCCTGTGTATGATAGACAAGTGATAGTATTTTTGGAATGGTTTTTTTTCATCTTAGCCTAGGCGCAGACAACCGATTTTTAGTTAGCCGATAGGTGGGCCCGATTTTAATTTGTATGAAGATACCAAATTGGTGTAATGTGCGCACTTTCATACATCTTCGTACAGATTAACAGCCCGATCCAAACATCGACCAACTAAAAGTTGGTGGTCTGCGCCTAGCTTAAAATAGCTCAATTATGACTACATTTCCAGATATGGCCTCAACTTGGCTGATGCTGCGTTTACACTGCGCGGAAATTAGCCAAGACAAGTCAAAAAAACAGTGGAGTGGGGATGAATTATGAATGAATTTCATCCCC